TTTTCAACTTTAAACAAGTTGGGTCTCTTAATGACAGAAACCTCCTACAATTGTATGATATCAAATTCTACCTAGCCATTATTTATCAACAATCCATTTCGTATTGATTTTTAAGGCAAACAGTTTTATATGACAAAGTCTAACAAAATATAAAATAGAAAAATTGCTCTATTTCATATAAAAATGCGGAAATTTTGGATTTGCTAAAAAGAAAGCTTTTAAAAGTTTTTTTTCTATATTTTGCAATGATATTTATTGGTACTAACGAAGTCTCCTTCGAGAACAAAGATTATTTGACAATTTATTCGTACTTACAATCAGTAAATGATACAACTGGCGCAAAATTTCACCAAAATACCGACTCAAATATCTGTATCAGTGCTACTTATTAATGTGATAAGCAAGTTTATTTAAAAAAAAAAAAAAAAACAGTGATAGAAATTTATAGCCAATTGTAAACTTTCTGGTAGGCAAGTTTATGTCAAGAGACAATCGATTAGCGAAATTTCTGGGAATAGAAAGTAACTCAGTGCTTTTGCAAGACGTTCCAAATTAAATGTCATAACAAATGTTAGATGTTATCGTTGTGAACATATCGCCAGGGAAGAAAGTGATAAGATCATTCCTTCGTTTTATTGAATTCTTAAACAACTGATGTTGCGAATAAACGCAAAGTTACGCGAGAAAGAAAAATAAAAAAAGTCATCCAAATTCTTTTCTGTACACATAGGGTGCCACCGTGTTTTCCTCGAAAATAAATCATTCCCTGAAAATAGTCTTAGTGACATTTTCAGGGAAGAGTTTAATAAGCCCTCCCCCTGGAAATAAAATCTAGTTTGGCCTTGCTACCACCACAGGGAGTACCCGTGCCGACGCAACTGCGACAAACTCTGGATGAGACCTCGGGTCCACCCTTTACTGCGTACTGGCCATTTCCCAAATTCGTTGCTCCTCAGCAAGGCCGCGGGAGCGTCGGCTGGCTGCGCTGAGCCTCCAAGCTTACTCTGTTTCCTCGAAAATTATACCCTGTAAATAAGCCCGAGCTACGTTTTTTTTTTTTTTTTTTCTTGGGAGGGGGGGGGGGGAAGGAATAACAAAGTTTGAGATGGAAATGAAGAGAAATTCACAACTCTGTGTTTCGAGCAACTAGTAGCGGGATTTGGATCTTTATTTGAACACCGAACGTCTTGGAACATATCAATCAAATCAAAATTATCGGTAGGCTTAACTTATCAAACGGTGACGCTTTTATGCAAATACTGCAGAAACTGGGGAAAGAAAATATGTTTTTTTTCAACTTATCATTCGAATACGAAACGGAATTTGAGCATTATCGTGATAAATTCCCTATCAAACTAAATTTCCCGTTTGATATTATGCAAATAAGCAGTGTAAATAAAAAGGTTATTATAGAGATCAGTTAAATAGCAATAAAAGTAAAGGAGTTGAGCAGAAGTCTGGAAGGTTCATTTTGAAGAAGTTAGAAACAACTCTGTTTAATTCAAAGAAAAAATTTACAATATTATCGATTCAAATAAAAAAGCTTATTTAGTGATATCTACACAAATGCAATCTAAAATACTGTCAAGAAGCAATGCACAAAAATTTTGAAGTGTTGGGAGTACATTTTTCATATACTGAATATTTTTGGTTCATTCTCAAAAGTGGCTTGATATAAATTTGAGGAATTTTTCTACATCTACACAGCTTCTTAAAATTGTGTGAAAATCTCATGCACACTCGTCCCAACGACCGATAAAATCTGAATGAAATATCTCCAAAAAGTCTGCATTTTTGGTAAGAAAAATAAAAATTACATTCAAAATTAGGACATGATGAATTAACAAAGTTTGCATGTTTTAAATGAGTTATAATAAAATATTTTATGCGAAAAATTGCTGGGATTTTGAATAACAAAATTAACGAACTCTTTGTACAGTATTGTAAGCATGAAGAAGTTGCTCATTTGGTGTATATTCTCTAACGAGTCGACGCCACCTTTTGATGATACGATATGATATAAATAAAAGTTATGGATCTGTCTCACATCCTAACTCTTCACTATCGCCTTCAAGATTATTATTGAAGAAAAAGATTGAGAAAATAAAATGCGTATCAAGTTACTAATCCAATTACGTGAAATATAGCTACGATCTTATTAATAGTTAGTTTAGCAAATAATTTGTCAAGATTTCATTTATTGATGATTTTTAGGCTTTCAATCTATAACTGGATTTCTCAATAGATGGAGATGAGAAATGTAAGACAGATCTGCTGCCGTAACTTGTCTGCTTTGTTTATTATAAAGTGTGAAATGATTGGTCAAGCTCTTGCTTTGTTTATTAAAGGTTAAAAGATTGAAATTTGCTACAATATCACTGCGCATTTTATCTATTTTCGCCTATTAACTGAATCATATTGCACAAGGCGAGTTTTATTATCATTCCTAATACACATTAGGTAGCTGGTTGAAATCACGAGAATGAAGTTATCAGTTGTTATTATTGTTGTTTTGCTACTTGAAGTGATTCTTTAGGTTATGGGCCTTTAGATTACGAGTCTTCCCCCAGTTATTTTCAGCACTCTGATCAATTTAATTGGTAGAAATAAGCAGGTAGCTTTCACCGTATTCCTAAAATTTGTTTCTTATTTAAAGAGGCAGTTTATTGCAATTATGTGTTTTTAATGATAAATGCTGAAAACTTTAGTCAGCTTGGCGTCAATTCATGGTACTCTGATAATGCGCATCGTGTTCGTATGTCCGGATCCTGTAATTTTTCATGAAAGCATAAGAGTTCTCAATGTTTCTCTTAATATAAAATTTATGTTAGAAAAAAGTAAAAAATTTGTTTCCGCCTTTCCATCAGAATATCTTTTAAGTGCTGCTATACAGACCAACTGTGACAGTCATGGTTTAAGGCTGTTTCTCGTGGTTTCAAGTAGCAATAGCCATGGCATATACCTTTAGACCATCCCGTGATAATGACGATTAAATCATTCGATTTAATAAAACCACAGGCTTGTCCTTCTTTTATACCTTGAGCCACTCGTAGATCAATATCAGCCTTCCAGTCCTCATTTTTCGGCTCTATAATAGTGATGTATACATTCTTTCACTGAAGAAACCAACTTCAAAAAGTTGCCTAATAAGCTATGAATCAGCAATATCAAGGATCATCTGTAGAGAGAAAGTTAAGAATGATAGTTACATTATTTAAGGATTAGATGGTTACTCATAAAGCATTGATCGACAAGATAAACTTGAGGAAAGTCTTTATTTACGTATAATGAAGCTAATTACTCAATCACCTAAGCTCATCAACAAAGCATGTCAACAAACCAGTATAAAGTAATGGATGAACACCACGAAACAAATGCATTTGTCGAGCAGCTTGCTCTTCTCGAGTTATCGCAATGATTGGTGCCATGGGACGATAACGACTGACCAAACTAGCGGAGCTAAATTCATCATTTATTAAACTCATTTTAATGCTCTCAATAACTGCTTTATGAGACAAGCTACGACAAGGGTGCTCTACATTTTCACGTTGAGGTTACACGTATTCAGATGCTTATATCTTCCTGTATCTTTTATCATGTCTTTCTAAAAGTTAGAGGAGTTTGAACTTCTGAAAATGCTTACTGCCCCGTGGTAGTTAGCACTATGATAGCACTTGCATTGCATGAAATTGCTGCTGAAACGGCTGCAATTGCAACAGTATGTGTAACATCTGCAGGTTTCTTCATACAAAGAAGAGCCTCGCGGAATACTTCTTGGTAGTTTATGGTTGATTCGGCTTCCAAACATAACTGAAACAAGCACAGTTGATGTTAATTAACTTTTATGACTGCTAATTTTCAACAAATGTAAAAAAAATATCGCATTCATTGAATACTTGATATTGTCATTAAGCGTATTTTATCAATCGCTTTTCTTTTGGTCCTTTTTTGCTTACCTTACTCATAGTCACTAGTGTTAATACGGGATAATCTCCTTTTGCTGTTTCACCGCTCAACATAACACAATCGCTGCCATCCAGTACTGCATTAGCGACATCGCTACCTAAGCTCCAGTCAATGAGTGACATTAAATTAAATATGAAAAATAAAAAAATCGATAAAGCGATTTTTTTTAGTATGCGATTAATGATGCAATAAACTTGTCATTTTTAGCGACGACGATCAGTACAGTCCTCGAGCAACAAGTATACAGTTACAACCTATTGGAACTGAAATTTTCGTAAAGCTGTCAAAACATTAGAGACAAAAATGGTAGCATTTTAGCATTCTTTAATCTAAATTTTGTTTTTTCTTTTTTTCATATCTAGAAAATGTTCCTATTGGATCATGCTATCCTTAATGCATTAACTTACCCTCAGCTCGAGTAGGTCTTGGCTTCTTAGTCATTGATTCAAGCATTTGAGTAGCACACACCACGGGCTTCCCGACCACATTGCATCGTGCGATTAGCATTTTCTGCGCTGCGAATACTTTCTCAGTGGGAATTTCAATACCCAAATCACCGCGTGCTATCATTAATCCATCTGCTTCTCTGATTATTTCATCTGCGCTAAAAAGTCCTTTGATATGTATATATATTTTCCATTTCTTTACAAAAGAACACTTCCCACTACTGTT